TCCGAGCAATCGCATTCAAATGTTAATTGACGAGGCTCTTTTGGACGACATCGTACTCCAACTGGACATCTTGGCGAGCAGTCAACACATCCGACCTGTGTAGAAGAGAATAAAGTTCTTGTTCGAAGATTTCCTGCAATTGCTACCTGCATAGCGTAGGCGCTGTCATCGTCGGAATCAATTAGTGTTTGCTCCATCTGCTTGCTATGCACCAGTGAGAGATCTACCGACTTTCCATCAACGAAAACGTCCTTTAGACACCCCTGATACCATATATGTTATGAAAGTTTTGAGCAAATACAGTAAACTTGACTTACCCTCAAAGATGGTACTTTTTCCCGAGTATTCTCAAAGTATTTGTGCTCGAAACTCGGCAAATACAAACCGGACTTCTTTTTCTCGTAGAAGGTGCCTCCAAGAAAAACTGCGCTACCGGTGGCAAGCACGGGGATTGAGTAAATTTCTGAAAATTACCAAGTTTTGGACTGATAATAGATGATAGAGGAGCTTACCAGCAATTGAGAGATTATTGTGAATGCCCAATTCGTCAAGAACGCAAATTTCTTTGTCAGCGACTAACGAGATACCGCCATAAGCTTGAAAAAATGCAACTCGCGTCCACTGATCACTGCCAAAGCCTAGAACACAGTCGTAAAGAAAATAAGAAGTTATAGTTTTATACTTTAGTAGCCGGTTCAAAGAAAATGAGGGTGATTAAATTCAAAATTTCTAGTTTAGCTGTTTAACAAGGAGTACATTAACGTGGAGGCTACGAAAGAGAATGTACTCTCTTCAATCCATTCATTTTAACCCGCACTAGCCAAGCCGCAAAACCCTCATCCCTATTTTGTTGAAAGTTTACATCACTTCAATAATCGAGATTTGCCTAAAAACGAAGTTCTACTGATTTTTAGATTGCGCAAATTTTGATGATTCAGCTTAATCCGATTTCTAAAATTATAAAAATCATTTAAAATGAGAAGGAAATGACATTTCTACGTAGAGTTGTTAATTTTTTTCTTGACTATTACATAGGACTCCAAAGAACTGTTAAAGGAGAAGAGTTCAAGACAAAGGCTCGCGATAATTTTGATCACAAGTTATAGCTGAAACATTGGAAGATTTTCGAATGAACGAGCATCGAATGTTCGTGATTAAAATATTCGAACGAATGATTATTATTTGAATCGCCGCTTAAGACATATTCGACTTCAAATGTCGAACTGTTTATTCGATTATTCGAATTATCGAATTTGGGCATGACCGAATATTCAAATATTCGAATAACAGAATAAGCGCGCCCTTTCGAATACTCGACTATTTGTATAGTGAATAACGGAATTATTCGAATATTCCAGTCAAACACATCATATCGTCAATCTCAATCATATTCGATAATTTTGCAGACTATTCGAACGATAAACATTTAGTGGTTTTGCAGACATTCGAACGATCGAATATCATTCAGATCTCAGAATCTCAGTTGAAAAACCATTCGAACTCGAATATTCGAATGTCGTGTTCCAAAATATTCCACTACTCGAACATCAATTTCCAAATGTTCGATCATTTTATTCGAACGTGGATATTCGATCTCAACTATCATAACAACTGACGATTCTTACTATCCAATTCCTCGTGCTTTTCCTACAAAATTGCACTAAAAGATTCGAGAATTACCAAAATTCTACAGAATTGCGAATTTGTAACAAAAAGTTGAATTTTAAGATATTGAAATCTGTGGTTGTGAGAAGCAGTTGGACATGTTAAAAGAGGCTTAAACAATTTGTTGTTGACCGAAGAGGAAGTTAAAATGGAGTGGTCAATTAGGTTTGGATAAGTTGTATTCATAGCAGCTTCTATTCTGCTTCAAGCTATTCATAGTGACCGATAACATTGGGTTACATGTGTTCAGTGATTTCTTTTCAAACGCTCATTTCTCCAATTCTTTTATTATGCTTAAACAACGTTTTCTAGTATAGTTAGTTAGGAAGGTATTTCCTTACTCTAAAGATCTTGTCCATTATCCCCAACTCATTTGATTTTGTTTTGCTCAAGCAACCAAGAGATGAAGTGTTACGCGGACCAGAAAATATATGTATTTTCGACACGGCTTCTTCTCATTGAAAGGCAATTTTATTTGAGATGAAAGCAGTAGTAGATCAAAATACAGTAGCCTTTATTGCGCAGGACCTCCTCTTATATAAAAATCTGTCAAATCGCAACACCAAAATCGCAAGGTCTCCTTTTTGAAAAATCTTCTAGCAATTCGGAATCACCGTTATCGAAGGTTTCTTGAATCACTTAGAAACGGTAATAAGCCTAAAGCGTTGGAGAATACATAGGTTTAACCCTTTTGATATAATCCTTCAAGGACGGATGGTGTGGCGGTGTACGAAGTAATTTAATTGCTAGGTACAAAACAGAACACATGCAGTGATGATGTGCTCTCTGTATTGCAATTTTTGTATATTCTTGTCACTACATCTTATAATATTTTCATCAAGATATCTATTATCTATCTCGATACCGTAAAGTTTACTCACTGTTGTCCATCTTCCTGAATTGTCTCCTATCTAGATGTACTGTCAATTCCAAATTTATCTTGTAACCTTACTTTGCAACAACCCCTACTACTGCCAATTCCTCATCCTACAAATAGAAAACTACTTCCTCATTGCTCTTTATAGTCTTTTTGGCGCTAAATGTTTGATGACTGATTGTGATAGTTTCTGATAAAGTAGCTCTTTTTAGCTTCTTACTAGTAATTACCTCTGCTCTTTTTACTGTGTATAAAGTGATTTTTTTAATCTATGAATAGTACTGACCTTCAATTCTGTTTAACGAGCAGCCTTTGCAAACCTCTTCGCCATTATTTTCGCAATAGATTCCTATAAGCTGACGGTCTTTGTAATGCACTTGGAATCGGCCTTTCGTCTCTTCTTCTTGCCAAAATCCAAACAGTAGCAAACCGATA